AAATTATAATGTAATCTATATGCAACGCAATTTATATAACAATCATGCCGAAATCACAAACTTAATTGAATCGGTTTTATTAGGAATTATAAAAATAGCTGTAAACCCACCAAGTTAATTCTGAATCCTAATATCAAAAATAAACATGTAAAATTCTAATTAGCCAAGATTACTAGTATTGTACTTATTTATTTGATTACTTAAATTATTTAAAAATATAATAAAATTTAAATATTAAATAATGTCACAGCTGATTATGAAATCGGATTATTGTGAAATTTGGAACTATTTCATGTACGATTTTTAAATTTTTTGGGCTCTTTTTGTAGGCTTTTTTTTTTTATAGCTGAGTTAGGATTTAGGGTTAGAGTTTTTAATAAAAGAGTATAGGTGGATTTTGGTAGGGCCTATATTTTCAAATTGAGACCCCAAATTTTACAATAATCCGATTTCATAATCAGCCGCGACAAATAATAATGCATCAAATATAAATCAAATAAAGTATGATTTTTTTTATTTAAAGTAATCATTTATACAAGTCTGTTGAGCAGACTTGAGCATTTTCACTCTAATAAATTTTTCAAGAGAATTAACTAACTTTAATTGCTCATTTGAGCCCTCTTGCTGAAGCAAAAAGGTTCGAACACTTTCCAAATTACTTAATACAGAACTACTACTAATAATTGCAATTTCAACGCTATCATCCTTTTCATCATCTATGACCTCAATGTCTTCATCATCTATAGTTTCGATGCTCTCATCTCTTTTAAATGTATATGCAAACTCTTTAATAATCTGGTCATCCGGAGAAACCTCATAAACAAAATTCTCCTCACTTATTGTAAGGAATTCATCAACTTCCATCGAATTAGGAAGATGGTGCGTATTATTAAGTGCACTAATAAGTTCATTAAGGCTTGAATCGTTGGTTCTACGAGCGTCATCAGATAATTCACAAACCTCGGGGTCGATCATATCCAGAAGAATTCTTGTATGGCGCCAACAGTTACGGATGGTCTCAACCGAAACTTCATCCCAACCCTTTATTAAGTATTAAATTGCTTGAAGAATATTCATTTTCAAATCCTGAATAAAAATACCCGCTTCAACTTGATCTAACATCCACCTAAAAAAAAAAAAAAAAAAAAAAAAAAATTAGTGCGTATACTAAAATAAATACTGTATTATCTTGAAATAATGCCCCCGGGCATTATTTCAAGATCATACAGTAACCAATTAGTGTTTTTCACCATAACTAACATTCAACAAACCTAAGTTGATAACGACGATAGGCTTTTTTAAAAGCCATAATGATACCTGCGTCCATTGGTTGCATCATTGAGGTTGTGTTTGCAGGAAGAAAGTGAACATCAACACAGCGAAGGGTCAACCTATCTAACTTATGGCTGGCGCATTGATCAAGAAGTAAAAGAACACGCTGGCCATTATATTTTCGAAACATTTGGAGATCAAACGCCTGGAGCCACTCTTGAAATAAAACCGTAAGCATCCAAGCTTTATGGTTATTTCGATATATCATTGCCAAATTCTGAATTTTTACATTTTTAAAACACCAGGGTTGGTGTACTTGCCAATTACAAGAGGGTTCAGTTTATGGGATCCATTGGCATTGGTGCATAGGGCTATAGAAAGACGCTCTTTATTTTTTTTACGTCCTGCAAGACGTCGTGTTGCTAAAGTCTTATCCGGCTCCAACCTAATACAATAAATTGGTTATTAAAATAAAAAAATATACCTATATATACAATACATGAGTGTCACAAAATGAAAAAGACAGGGAAATCTTAAAAGATTTCCCTGTTTTTTTTTTATTTTGTGACACTTAAATTATAATATCTCAAAATTTACCGATAAAAGAGACTCGTCTCATCCATATTATAAATTCGGTTGAGAGGGTACCGAGCACACAGGTCTTTCAATAATGGCAAGGATCGGGTAATTATGTTCAAGTCGACAGATTCTGCTTCTCCATGAAGCTTTCGTTGACGGATTCCGTTTCTTTCCTTGAATTTTTGAAGCCACCCGGGAGAGAACTGCAACTTATCCTCAGGGACTCCAAGTTCGTTTGCTAGCATTTTAGCCTTCTCGATTAACAAAGCATCGCTTAAGATGGTCTGATGCTGATATATTAAAATAAATTCTTTTAGGG